TATGATGTTAGCTGTGGGTTTTTACAAATGTCCTTTTAATAGGCCGAGGGAGTTCCCTTCTATTGAATTAGCTCAGTAATTTTTATCATTAAGGGGTATTGGATTTTGCAAATGATTTTTCTGCACCTATTAAAATGATTTTTGTTTTTGTTCTTTATTCTATTGTAGTGTATTACATGAACTGATTTTTGTAAGTTGAGACTATCTTGCATAGATCCCATTTGATGATGGCATATAATCCTTCTTGAATGTTAGTATATTGGCTGTTATTTTTTTTTTTGAGAATTTTTTTTTTTTGTCTATACACATAAGATACTGGCCTGTAATTTTATTTTATTGTGATGTTTTCATCTGGTTTTGGCTTACAAGTAATGATAACCTAAAAGAATGAATTGGGAAGTATTCTCTTTAATTTTTATGAAAGAGTCTGTGAAGTACTGGTATTAATTCTTCTTTCAAGACTTGGTAGAATTCATGAGGGAAACCATGTAATACAGGGCTCTTCAAATTTTCTATTTCTTTTGGTGGGATGGGGGTTTGAACTCAGAGCTTCATGCTTGCAAAGCAGGCACTCTACTACTTTAGCCATACCTCCAGTACCCCATTTTGTTCTGGTTATTTTGGAGATGGGGAGGGAGGGTGTCTCTTGAACTATTTGCCTGGGCTGCCCTTGAACCACAATCCTCCTTATCTAAGCCTCCCAAGTAACTAGGATTATAGATATGAGCCACAAGTGACCAGCTTTTCTATTTCTTCTTGAGTCAGTGGCAACAGTTTGCGTCTTTCCTTCAACTTGTCCATTTCATCTAGCTTATTCAATTTATTGTCATACATTGTTTATGGTATTTTTGCCTTTGTAAGATTGGTTATAATATACCTTTCATTCTTGACCTTAGTAATTTGAGTATTTTTTGGTCAGTGTAACTAAAGTTTTGTCAGTTCTGTTATCTTTTCAAACAAACAACTTTAATTTTGTGGAATTTTTCTACTTTTTTCTTATCTTCTATTTTATCAATTTACATTGTAACCCTATTATTTCCTTTCACCTACCTGGTATGCAAGTAGTTTGGTCTTTTTCCAATGACTAAAGGTGAAAGTTTAGGTCATTGAGATACTTTTTTTTTTTTTTTTTTAGAAACTTAAATATTAATAGCTATAAATGTACCTCTAACATTTATACATTCTCTTAAATTTTTAGAAAGAGTCTGTGAAGTCTCGCTGTAGCACAGACATTTGGTACATTGTTTCTTCATTTTCATTTGTCCCAAAGTATTTTTTAATTTCCTTTGTGATCTATTTAACTGACTGATTACTTAGAAGTATACAGCTTAATTTTCACATATTTTTAATTTTCCAGAACTTTCTTCCTGTTATTAATTTCTAATTTTATTTCATTGTGATTGAAGGATGTACCTTGTACAGTTTTAATCCTTTCTAAGTTAATGATGTTTTGGTTTTTCGGCAGTACTAGGGTTTGAATTCAGGGACTTGCCCTTGTGAAGAAGGCGCTCTACTACTAGAGCCCTCCCCCCAGACCTTTGTGTTTTATTTTTCAGGTAGGGTCTTGACATCTTCCTACCTACAGTCTCCTGGGTAGCTGGGATCACAGGTACTTACCACCCATCTTATTGAGATGGGAGTCTCACTGGCCTCAAACCATGATCTTCCAGATGTTTGCCTCCTAAGTAACTGGGATTACAGGCATGAGCAACCACACATGCCCATCCTCAAGACTTTTAAAAATCTTAATAGCCCAGCAAATGGGCTATCCTGGAGAATGTTCATGACAGAATGTATATTCTAGTTGCTGGATGATGTTACCTCGTTGGCTGAACTAGTTTCCTAGTTCTAGTTAACTTAGAGTGCTGTTCAAGTCTTTGATTTCACAGCTGACATTCTGCTTAGTTCTACCTGTTTCTGAAAGCGGTATTAAGGTCTCCAACTACTGCAGAATAACTGTCTATTTCTGCCTTTAAATATCAGTTTTGCTTAGTATGTGTTCTCAGATGCACTTATTTAGCACCTGAGAAAAGAGCAAATATGTGTCTATACAGTTTATGTATTAACCCTCTTATTTACCTTCGTGATACACTATTGATTTATGCAGACTTAAGTTATCACGTAGTGTAATTTTCTTACTCCAATACAACTTTGGCCCCATCTACCTTCTTTGTGCAGTTGTCAAATATATTTGTATGTGTTCAACAATATAATTATAAATACATGGTTTTATGCAACTACTTTTTTAAATTAAGAAAAGGAACATCAATATGCATTTGTAGTCTTTTATAATTATATAACTACCTTTACTGTGTGTTAAGTGGTACTTTGTATGTGTACATGCACACATGTATGTTTTCAAATTACTAACTCACTTGTTTTCAACCTGAAGAAATTCCTTTGGGATTTCTCATAAGGTGGTGCTACTATTTAATTTTCACGGTTGTCTGCTAGTAATGAATTTTCTCAGTTTTTAAAAAAAATACAGAAATGTTTTTATTTAACCTTCATTTTTGGAGGGTGGTTTAGCGTGATAACTACATTCTTGGCAGTTTCTTCTTTCAGCACTTTGTCAGCCCACTGCTTTCTGGCCTCCACTATTTCTAATAAAAAATTAGCCATTAGTCTTATTGAGACACTCTTGGGCATCATTAGCCACTTTTCTTTTGCTACTTTCAACATTTTCTTTTTGCATTTTAGCATTTTTATTATGTATCTGGATGTAGGTCTGACTGAGTTTTTCTTACTTGGATTTTTTTGAGCATCTCAGATATATACATTAATTTTTGCATTAAATCTGTGTTATTTTCTGCCATTAAATTTTTTTTCCTGTTCCTTTTTCTTTTTTATCCCTTCTGGTATTCCTATTAATCATAACTTGGTGCACTATTTAAAACTATCTCACCTTATTCTGAAGCTCTGTTCATTTTTCTTTATTTTTTATGCTTAATGTTTATTGATCCTTCACTTTTTTTTTTTAATTCTTCTGCTAGTTCAAATCTACTGTGTTCTAGTGAATTTTTCATTTCAGTATTATACTCTTCAATTCCAGAAGGTGGCTTTTTTTTTTGTTTTGCGGTACTAGGGCTTGAACTCAGGGCCTTCATCTTGAGCCACTCCACGAGCCCTACTTTTTTTGTGAAGGGTTTTTCAAGATAGGGTCTTGCGGAACTATTTGCCTGGGCTGGCTTTAAACCACGATCCTCCTGATCTCTGCCTCCTGAGTAGCTAGGATTACAGGCGTGAACCACTGGTGCCCGGCAGAATTTGGCTCTTTTTAAAATTATTTCTTACCATTATTTAATCATCTATTTAATGAGACATTATCATCAAAATTTCCTTTAGTTCTTTAAGCGTAGTTTCCTTTAGTTCTTCCATAATTATAATGACTATTTTAAAGTCACTAGTAAATATCCTCTTTGGATCCTATCACAAGAAATATCTGCTGCATGTTTTCTTTTACGTATGGGTTGCACTTTCCTGTTTCAGTGTCTCATAATTTTTGTTTAAAACTGGACATTTGGGCTGGGGGCATGGCTCAAGTGGTAAAGTGCCTGCCTAGCAAATGTTGAGGCCCCAAGTTCAAATCCAGTACCACCAAAAAAAAACAAAACATCTCACACACACAAAAAAAACCCACTGGACATTTTAGGTAATATATTGTAGCAATTCTGGACACTGTCTTCCCTTGTTTCTTTATGGCTTAGTATTGTCATTTGTTTAGTAACTTGACCTGACTATCTTAGACTAGTGAAGCCTTTAATATTGCATCTCAGAGAGTGCAGACTTGGGCATGCACAGTCTCCTTGGGGTGACATTTAGCAGACCTCACCAACTAGTTTTCCCTGATCTGTTCAGCTTTCTATTTCTCCTGGTAGCACACCCAGTTGTTAGGCTCCACTAAGTGCTGGAGAATGCTCCACTGTTTTTGATAATGTTCTGGAGCATAAACTGCTCCAAAGGGCAATTTGATCAAATTTGAGCATGGGCAACTTAACAATGAGGTTTGTTCTGACCTTAGCAGAACTCTTCTCTTTACTATCACTGTTCCTGATTCACTGGTGACAGAGCTGGCCTAATGTTTTAGTTGTTGCTCTTAAAAAGAGCTACCAGCCTCCTTTTATTTATTTACTACCAAATTTCCATTGTTTTTGAGACTATGCTTAGGTATAAACCTGCCCCAGATTCTGTTCTTACCAAGTGCCTCTCCTTTGGCAAAATCTCTCAGCACTACTGTGAGCAGGGTAAGCAGCATCTAGTCTTCTCAACCTACCTCTCCTGTTATGGAACCTCTGAATACAAGTAAGCTGAGGCAAGAGCTATAAGAGCCATAGCATTCTTGGTCCAAAGTACCTGATGTAGAGCTTCCACACTAATCCCCAAGAACTTGGGCTTTTCAACTTGGAGTTTGAGGGAATGAGAACAGCTTGTGGCCTAAACCTTCTAGTGAGATACCATATTCCTTGTTTGAAAGCTGAGAATTCCTGGGTTTGTACAATATGACCCCTTAGTGCTGGCAGAGTCAAATGCTTCAGGGGTGAGCATGTGACACAAGATAGGCCGGGAGTCTTACCAGGAAGCTGGAGCTGAAAGTAGGAGTCTACTCACTGATGAGGCTGCCTAGTTTCACCATGGGTACTGGCAGAAAAGGGCAGGATAGAACAAGAGAAAGGACTTAAAAAACATGCAGAAAGAAGAGACACAAAAGAACTCTCTGGATTCCTAATTATACTCTGATTATTGGTTCCAGTCAGTCCTTGAGACACAGCTGCCTCAAGTTCTGTGACAAAGCCGTTCTGCAATCTGGTCTACTGTGAGGGAGTTCAATGAGACTTCTGGAATTAGGTATCAAAAGAGTCTTAACAGTCCTAGTCTATGACCACCTTAAGGAAAATTCTACTTTCAGCAAATCTCAAATTAATCTTCCTTGGAAAAGAGGTAGAGAATATCTCTAGGGGCCCAAGAAAAAGCTCACCACTCAGGAAACCCACCAAATGTACCTTGACTGTGTTCAGACTCCTCATTGGCCACTCGCATCAGGGCGTCTAGCACCAAAGCATTGTCTAGCCATGTGTACCACTCCTCCAACTCCTGAAGGAAGCTGGCTGTGCCTGTTGACTCTGACACCTTTCGAGTTGCCAGTTTGCAAAGTCGCTCAACAAAGCCAGGAATGCTGAGAAGGGCCGCTGCCAGGGAGAGAACAAGAGAGGGAATTTTCAAAACAGAGACCAGCAAAATGAGCTCTAAAAATACCAACAGTTTGCATGATAGGAATGATTCTTTTTTTAAATGACTTTATTAGCATATAATAGTTGTATAGGGGGACACATTATAAAATTTACATATGTGTTTACAATATATCTTAGATTTACCCTCTTCATCATTCTCCCTCTTTCCTGCTCCCCCACTTCTTAGAACAATTTCAACAGGTTTCATTACTGCAGCTAGTTAGAGCTGCTCTTTTAAGATGAAATACTGCTAGGTGTGGTGACTCATGCCACTAATCCCAGCCACTCGGGAGGGGAAGATAAGGAGGATAATGGTTTGAGGCCAGCCTGGGAGAAAAGTTAGCAAGACCCCATATTTCAATCAATAAGCCAGGCCTGGTGTGCCTGTAATGCCAGGTATGGGAGAGGCCTCAGGTAGGTGGATCACAGCCTGAGGACTGCCCCAGGCAAAAAGGGAGAATCTATCTGAAAAATAAATAAATAAATAAATAAAGCAAAAAAGGGCTGGGAGTGTGGTTCAAGTTGTACTGAGTTCAAAACTCAATACTGACAAAATAAATAAGTAAAATAAATAAAGTGAAATGCCAAGCCAAGGTAAAAATAGTAACAAGAAACAAGTGTTCAATTTTAGCAGGTTCAGGGAAATTGGCTATTTATTGGTATGAATATAAATTAAAATAATCTTTATGTCCTAAATTTGTGTGTCTTTGAGTTAAAGGGCCATTTATGGGAAGATATCATAAGAAAATATTCACTTAGCCAGGCATGGTGGCAATGCACACCTGTAATCCCAGCACTCAGGAAGTTGAAGCAGAAAAATTACAAGATTGAGGCCAGCATGGGTTACATAGGGGGTTCCAGGCCAGCTTGGGCTCATACAGTGACATCCTGTCTCAAAAACCAAAACAGAAGAAAAGAAAATACTCACTGATGTAGTTATTGTTCAATAGCAGACTCTAAAATGACACACACCTTTACAGTGACTCAAAAAAGTTGTTTAAATTTAAAGAGAAAAAATTATAAAACGATATTGGATTAAGCTCATTTTCTTCAAAAATTTAAATTGCATTGCTTCTTTAAAATGCACACATAAAGACTGGAAGCAGGGCTGAGGGATATAGCTCAGTGGTAGATCACAAATCTAGTATATGTGAGGCTCTGGGTTTGATACCCAGCACTAAAAATTAAACTAAAAGGACACAAGCACATACACCAAGTTATTTACTGTGGCTGTTCCTGAGCAAGAGAAGATAAAATGCTCCCTTAAATACTACTTGTCTACTGTTTGTTTTTCAAATAATAAACATCTACAGAATAATCCACTCCATAGCCACAAAACATACATACATCTCAGCAGCCCATCAAACTTACTCCAAAACTGGTAACATTTTAGGACATAATACAAGTCTCAACAAATATAAGAAAGCTGAAATAATGTCCTGTTTTTTATTAGACCAAATGATACACCTCAAGAACAAGATAAACTCAAAATTAGGAGATGGAAAGAAATAATAAAGACCAGGAGAGAATTTAATAAAATGGAGACTACCAAAGAAACAGGGTAGGCTCTTTGAGAGGATAAACATTGAAAAACCCTTAACAAAATTAGCCAAAATAAAGAGGGAGAAGATATAAATAAATAAAATTAGAGGTGAAAAGAGGGATCTCACAAGAAATGCCAATCCAGAAGATCATTTTGGAATATTTTAAAAACTTATATCCCAATAAACCTAAAAAACCTAGAAGAAATGGATAAATTTCTAGATGCGTGACTTACCTAAATTGAACCAAGAGGATATAAACCTCTTAAACAGATCTATGATTGAAGTACTAAATAAGAAGTCTCCCAACAAAGAAAAGCCCAGTGCTGAATGGATTCACTACTGAATTCTACCAAATGTTTAAAAAACAACACCAATGCTCATAAAACTATCCCATACAACAGAAAGGAAAGTAATGCTAATAGAACATCCTGTGAAGCTAGTACCCTGATAGCAAAGATCACAATATCTGACTTCAAATTAAACTATAGAGCCATAGTAAAAACACAGTATGGTGCTAGCATAAAAACAGACACATACAACAATAATAGAGGATCCAGAAATAAGCCCACACAGCTAAAGCCATCTGATTCTGACAGAGAGGTCAAAAAATGTATGATGGGAAAAAGGCAGATTCTTTAACAAATGCTGTTGGGAAAACTGGACACCCACATGTAGAAGACTGAAACTAGATCCCAACTCTCACCTTGTATAAAAAATCAATTCAAAATGAATCAAAGATCTTAATGCAAGACGGAACTTTGAAACTACTATGGAAAACATGAGGAAAACACTTGAATATGCAGGCATAGGCAACAACTTTCTGAATAGGACTCCAATAGCTCAGGAATCAAGATCAAGATCAATTCAATAAGATCAAGAATTGACAAATGAAACTGCGTCACATTAAAAAGCTTCTGCACATCAAGGAAACAATTGCCAGAATGAAGAGACAGCCTGCAGAATGAAAGAGAAATCTGCCAGCTGCTCATCAGGTAAGAGAGTAATATCCAGAATATATGAAGAGCTCAAAAAACTAAACACCAAAAGAATAATGCAGTCAATAAATAGGTAAATGAATTGAACAATTCTCAAAATGACTAATAAATACATGAAAAAATGTCCCACATCCCTAGACACAGAAAAAATGCAAATCACCATGACACTGAGAATCCATTTCAAACTAGTCAGAATATCAATCATCAAGAAAACAAACAACACATGCTGAAGAGGATGTGAGGAAAAAGGAATCCTTATGTACTGTGGGTGGGAATGTAAAATAGTGCAGCCACTTTGGAAATCAGTATGGAGGTTCCTCAGAAAACTAAAAATAGAACTACAACTACAATATGACTGTGTTGCACCACTCTTCAGTATGTATCTAACGGAGCATAAGTCAGCATACAATAGAGGCACCTGCACATCCATGTTTATCGCAGCACTATTCACAATAGTCAAGTTATGGAGTCAGTCTAGGTGCCCAACAACAATAAATGGATAAAGAAAATATGGTATATATAAACAATGGAGTATTAATTAGCCATTAAAAATAATGAAATTATGTTGTTTGCAGGAAAAGAGATGGGACTCAAAAATATTTATGTTGAGCAAGATAGACTCAAAAAGTCAAATATTGCATGTTTTTGCTCATATGTAGAATCTTAGACCTAAAATGACAGTAATAATGGGACATGAATGTGAAAAGGGAATATCTGGCAGGGGGAACCAGTGGTGGATGGGAGAGGGAGAAGAGGGTACTGGGGTGAACATTATCAAAGCACATTATGAAGATAGCATAATGGAGCTCACTAAATACTGTTTAATAAAGGGGGGGCTGGGGTTGTGGCTTAAGTAGTGCAGAGCCTGCCTAGCAAGCATAAGACCCTGAGTTCAAACCCCAGTACTGCCAAATATATATATATTTTCATATCCAGGATAAATCCAGAGAGACAGAAAGCAGATTGGTGGTTACCAAGAGTTGAGGGGAGGAAGTAATAAGTCACTGCTTAATGTGTACAGGGTTTTTTTCTAGAGTGATGAAAACACTGTGCAAATAAAGCGGGTATTTATACAACATCTAACTATGCTGAATGCCACTGAATTGTCCACTTTAAAATGGTTAATTTTATGTTTATCTCAATAAAAAAATATATTGACATAGGGTTTTTTTTGGAGATACCATTGTTTTTTGGGTTTTGTTTTATTTTTTTATTTATGAGCTTGGCAAATACCAAGAAATTTGGAAATGTCTGGTATTGTTAAGTGTGTAGTGGCAACAAGTGGGGCGACTAACTGGTAATTTCTTTGGAGGTTTAATCTATCGAAATTTAAAAGTACAAATACCTGCACATCGTATGCCATTATACAAGGTTGTTACTTGTAGGGACAAAGACTTGAAATAAACCAAATTTCCATCAATAGGCACTTGGTTAAATAAACTATGGTATGTAAAAATACTATGGAGGTTTAAGAAGGAATTGCATAATTTTACATGTATTAGAATGAAATGCTTTGAAAGATAAAGTCAAAAAAGACAGGTGGAATGGTACATTTGTACAAATAGAAAGGAATCCATTTCTTTCCCTTTGTTACCCCATGCTGGGAATGTATAGAATATCTCTGTAAGGAGACTAGGTTACTACAGGGAAGGAGACAAACCTTTTACTGTATACCTGTTATTCCTTTTGTACTGTTTGAATTTTTTTTTTTAATCTTAGGTATGTATTACTTTCTCTAAAAATTAAATAGAACTGTTTGGACATCTTTACCTAGATGGATTTTTATTTTTACACCTTTTACTCCAGCATAAACAGCTCTAGTTCCTTCCAGGGTAGTTTGGAAGACCATGTCTTCCAGTGTCTTCCACATGGCTGCACACTGAACATGCTCCTTCAGGTGTGACCTACCATAAGACTTTGACTTCTCACCTAGATTCTTAAGCTTTTGTGCATCACTTATTTCTTGAAATGCCAAGGAAAGCTATGGACCCTCTTCCCAGAAAAATCACAAACTGAATTATACTCAGCAGTTTATATACAATCTCAGGGGCTGGCACTAAAGCATCATACAGTCCTTGTAATTCCTACAGCTTTATAAATAGTTATTACACTTTATTGGTTAATGTTAAACTAGTTGACAACTAAATCACACACAACTTCTGAGAATTTCTGCAGAAGCAGACTTCTCTCTCATTTGTCAGAATATCAGTATTTGTTGAAACATCTGGCAGGTGAGGGCAAACTTTCCATTTTTATGTGTTAAATAAATCAGCCCTTCTTAGCTGTTACTTATACAGTAACAATTATCTAATAATTACCTATGGCTTCATCTCCATCTCTGACTAAAATCTGGAAAGACCTTTTTTTCCATAGGTGGAGCCATTTTCTCTCTCTCTTTTTTCTCTGGCAACACGGGAATTTGAACTCAGGGCCTCACGCTTACTAGGCTCTTACTGCTTGAGCCACTCTGCCAGCAGGACCACTGTTTCCCATCTGAATCATAAGAACAACTGAGAATCTCAAAACAGATTATCATATTCATTACCTGAGCTCCAGGAAGACAGCATAAATCATTATTTTGCTGGACAAGAAAACCAGTTGACATAGTTTATTAGAAACAACATAAAAACTTTTTGGCAACATCCTACATAAATCCCTTTCTGTACTACTATGGATGGAATTGTATACCCTCCTATTCCCCTGAAGTCATATATTGAAGTCCTATCTCCGAATGTGACTATATTTGGAGACAGGGCCTTTAGGGAGATGAATAAGTTTAAATGAGATCATAAGTGAGGGACTTTAAACCAAGAGGAGTGTCCTTACCAGAACAGAAGGAGACACCATAGAGCTGTCTCTCCTTGTATATATGCAGAAAAGGTCATGTGAGGATATAATAAGGAGGCCATGTGCAAGCTGCCTCACCAGGAATCAATACTCACAGCACTTTGATCTTGGACTTCTAGCTTCCAGAACTGGGAGAAAATAAATTTCTGCTATTTAAGTACTTAACAGACACAAAATATTGTTTTCAGAGGATTAAGAGAGCTACAGTGGGATAGTCATGGTTTCCTATTGCATTTTATTATTTTACCTGTTTTATGCTTTTTTGTCTTAACCCCACAGTAAATAGCAAATAGTTTAATTTCTGAATTTGTAGCTATTAATGTTCAAGAACTAGTTTTACAGATAAATAAATGATTGAGCTAAAAAGACGAATCATCTATACTGTTATGCCAGGTCAGATGTACCTACTTAGTTGCCCCAAAACCTGCTCAGGTCAGGACACTTCATCAAGAGAACACAGTTTTTTTACTACTGAAAAGAAATAAATTGGGTAGACTAGTTAGGGTTTTTCTTTTTTTCTTTTTAAGTAATTTATATGTTCACATGGTTCTAAATAAATAACATGTAAAAGTAGTCCCACTGACACTAACTACTGTTACCTGCTTCCTCCTAGCAGGTAACCACTTTAGGTTTCTTATGTATCCTTTCAATTTCTTTACGTGTATTGGATGTAAGCAAATATATGGCCTTTTTTCCCCTAATACAAAAGTATCATGTATATATATATATTTAAAAAAAAAAAAAGCATGTCATACACATTGTTCTGTATTTTTACTTTTTTTTTTTTTTTTTCAGTGCTGGGGATTGAACCCAGGGCCATGTGCATGCTAGACAAGTGGTCTACCACTGTAGACCACTTGTAGAACCATATCCCTAGTTCTACATTTTCCTTTTAATCATAATATGTCTTAGAGGTTTTTCTATGCTAGTACACAGAGATCCTCTTCATTTTTTTTAAATTGGATGATTTTTCATTAAATATTCTATAAATTAAGCAGTCTCTTGTTGAAGAACATTTGGAGAGTTTCTAGTCTTTTGTTACCAGAATGGTGTAATGAATAACCTTGGTATCCATCATATCTGTAAGATAAAGGCCCAGAGAGGCTTAGTAGGTTAAAAGATATATGCATTTGTAATGCTGATAAATAGTGGGAGCTGTTAAAGATTTGAACTCATTTAAAAATCTGATGAGAGCTATAGACCTTGATCCTCCCCAAATAAAAAGCAAAGATACACATAGATTTTACATACTCTAAGTGGACTCTAAAAGCCCTTCACACATCAGTCTCTACAGATATTGAAAGAACTAGATGATTTTGGAAAGGTCTCAGAGCTATGACCTCAAAATTCTGAGATCCTAGAGACTTTACCTTGGTTGATTTCAGCTGCAGAAGGCCCCAAACTCAAGCTTTTCTTCTGCTGAGCATTTTTGGCAAGAAGAGTGTGCTTGTCATCATTGCCTGTATCCATCTCTGAAATGGTGACAGCCAGAATCCGGCAGAAATTAGCAAGCTGTTGCTGATCAAAATTGGATACTAAGGAACTCAGATTGGGAACTTCATCTAGTCGTATCATTTCCTAAGGAAGACACAAATAAAACATTCCCTATGCTCAATTCATTCAAGAGATTGTATGTGTCCTTCTGCATTTCCTCCAAAATGGGACTCAGTAGTGAGACCACTTAAGTTCAAATCCCAGTTATGGAATCTCTTTACTTGCTAGCTGTAAGATGGGACTAAACCTACCTCATAGAATTAGTCTAAGTGTTAAAACTTATTCTTTGAGTACCACTGTTCCCATTGTATTTTGCCTATTAAAAAAGAAAGCCTACCACTCATGGGTTTTTTTTTTTGCTGTTGTTTGTTTTGGTGGTATTGGGGTTTGAACTAAAGGCCTTACACTTGGTAGCCAAGCCCCCTGCCTTTTTTGCTTTCATTATTTTTCCACACAGTTATTTTTCTTGCATTTTTTACAGGTCTAGACCACAATTCTCCTACTAATGCCTCCTAGTAGTCATCATTATAGGAATGAACTCCCACACCTGTTTTTGTTAAGATGAGGTCTTACTTTTTGCCTAGGCTCAAACTACAATTTTTCCACTCATGTTTTAGAATCATAATCACTATTCTTGCTGTAGACTTTTTTGTTAAGAAATAAAACATTTCAAACATAGCTAAAGGTCTCTGCATTCGTACACAGCTACATTCCCTTTTTTCTCCTTAAAGGGAACCATTATTTTGAACTTTCTGTTGATTATTCCCAGGGCATGTTTTTATTCTTACAACTATTTCCATTTAACTATATGGTATTGTTCTGCATGCAATGTGTACCTTACTTTTGACTCAACATTGAGACTTATGTACACTCATCTAAGGAGCCTCACTCTCATTATTTTTTCAATTGTTCCTGACAATTGTTCTCTTTTTTATGTATACTTAGATGAAGTACAACTTTGCACTATTAGACAATGCTGCAGTGACCATTCCTCCAGGTGCTCCTTATGCACGTGACCATTATCTACAGTACACAAGAACAGGTGTTCTTGCCTTTTGATCATAGTAGAAATATTTCCAAAGTTTCAAAATTAACAGTTACCCTATATCAAGTTAAGGAATTTTCCTTCTGTTTCTAGTTGCTATGGTTTCAAATGATTTGCACTTCACCAAATGTTCAAATATTGTGAACTTGGTCCCAGGTGGTGCTATGGAAGTGTGGAAAATTTAAGAGGTGGCGCCTACTGGAGGAAGTCCTTAGGACATTGGGGGTGTCCCCTCAAAAGGCGGTTCTCTCTTGCACACACTCCCAATATCGCTACCTGCCATGTGGTGATGCAGCTACCCTGTGCTATGCCATCTGGACTTTGAAGCTCCAGAACTGTTAGCTAAATAAATCTCTTTCTCCTCATAAGTAGGCTGTGTCAGGTATTTCATTTTAATTAACAAAAAGTTAACACACTAGCTTTTACTATGGGTGAGTATTAAAGTTTTTGAAATGCCTTTCATTTTATTATAATTTCTCTTAAAATCTACAAATGTGTGTATACATGAACTTTCCTCATTTTAAGTCATCCTTGTGTTCCTCAGATACTACCTGCTATCCTTCATCCTACTAATTTAACTTCCACTGGATCATTATTTTTCTATCACTGCACATAACATAAATTTGTAATTATTTGTTCTTACATCCATTTCCCAAATAATCTGACATTGCTTTGAGGAAGGGACAGGACTTATTTTTTCTAATGTACAGCACTTAGCAGTGAAGGAATCAGTAGATGTGCCCAAAACAAGCAAATAATTCTTGGATGTTTTCATGAATCTCACAGCTCTCTATTTTTGGTAATGGAGGAAGACAGTAGCTGATTCCACCTTTGTCTTTCCTTTCCCATTATTATTAGAAATTGTGACATTGAGCTCATCAGTTCCTCTACCCCTATGTAACTAAATGTACGGGTCCTAAACCAGGTCCCGCCATCCCTAAGCCCACTTCTTTTTATGTTTGAATTTGTATTTAATATTTGATACATACAACAAAATGAATCACAGTAGGCACCTTCCCTGTTTCATCTCTCTGCCTATCAGAGCTGACGACTGCTATTGTTTATTATTGCTTTGCCACTAAATATCTTTATCATACATAGGATCTGTATTTATTTTAGAGCTTTATGAAAATGACATACTATAGTCGCTTGCAATTGGCTTCTATCACTCAATCGTTAATACAGCAAGTTTATTTCTAATACTTTATAATATTCCATTGTGTGAAGAGACAGAATTATTTTTAGTTTTTGGCTCTGAAACAATGATGTTCTTATATGTTACTTGATGCACATATAGAAAAGTTCTTTTGGGGCAGTAGCTTCCAATGATCAAGAATAAGAAATGTATTTTCCACCATGACTCAAAAACGTATGTGGGAATGTAAATATGTACACATACATATATACATGCACACACTCACACATTTATATGTATATGAATCAAAGAAAAGTGTCTTCAAACAATATACTTACATGATATACTTTGCTCTTTTCCATTTCATTGATAGTCACTAATTTTACAATTCTCCTAGGTTTAATGTACTGTTTTCATTTTTAAGAATCACTGTTCTAGGACTGAGCCTCCCCACAACAGTGCTCAGGCACAGGTTACAGATGACCCACAGTGAAATACTGACACCCACAGACCCTGAGGGAGAACTTCCCTAGTTGCTGTCCACAGGATATATGCATGCTCAAGTATAAATCCAAAAGATGTAGAAACATATTTTGCAGATAAAAAAATTTGCAGTATGTGTTTCCACTCATACACATTCTCACCAACATTTGCTCTCTCTCCCCATCACTATGGTATGGGATTTGCATTCTCTGTTTACCAGTGACATTAGATACCCTCTCATATTTATGGCCCATTTCTTTCTCTTCTGTGAAATGCTTCTTCATATCACTACTCATTTTTTGACTAGGCTAGCTGTTTTTTTTTATGCTGATTTATAAAAATTCTTGATAAATTTGTTTGTTGTACAAATTATAAACTCATTTTCTTTCTCTTCTGTGAAATGCTTCTTCATATCACTACTCATGGTGTGTTGACCGTAGGACTGGCGTGTCTCTATCTTATAGATGCTGAATGGGATCCACTCTCAAAATAACACACACTATTCGATAAATTTCGGTTTGTTGTACAAAGATTATCAAACGTCACCCTTTTCCCTTTACACCGTTTGTGTGTATACTTGTTATTGATCTACCGCAATTTATGCACTCACTCGTGTGCAATTCCCTTGCAAACCACACCAAGGTGCACAGAAGTACAATAGGACCTGTTACCATTTTTGGCTACATGGAAAGGAATGAGAGGACATCAGGATCCTGTGGGAAAAGTTGAGAAGGAGCAATCACTGCCTCCTATGCTGAGACTACCAAGAAGTAGTCATGGAGGCCTCCTCTCACACACTGGCTAGAGCACACAATTATTGGAAAAATAACAAAGCCTTTTTATCAAAGGGCACAAAGGGTCTGTCTGGGGCCTGCACATATCTTCAATGTCTCCCTAGGGACAATGGGCCACTTGTGCAGCTTCTGCCTCAGTGATGATAAGCAAGGCCTGGACAAAGTGTAGCAGAAAGACAGCCATGAAAGCTGGGGTGATCATAATGTATTAGAGTACCCCCTTCTCTGCAACAGCAACCTTGAGGAGGCTGTTCACCAGCAGGAGGAAGAAATCTGCCTATTAGGAACTAACATAGAGGCTTGGGATAGAGAAAGACTGGGGAAGTTAGCGCCGGATCCTAACAAGCATTACACCAAAGTTCTAACATAGTGAGCTTTTCTCTAACAGAAGTCTATGTATGTATTTTGGGGGTGGAAGGGGCATATAAGATTTTAATTTGGTGTTTTTATTTTTATCATATTTATTAAATGTCCACCTTATGACGAAGTGGAAGGGTTTAAATATTCACATTTTATCTCTGCGGTGGTGTCAACTAACCAACTTTAATTGAAGACTAATGAGAAAAAAAACAGAAGTAGATTAAATAAGCAAAGGCCAAACATTACTACCAGAAGGAATAAAGGTTTCACAGCAGATCAAATACAGAAAACTGGTTCGAGAGTGGAGTCACACACAGCACACAACAGAACAGGTATGCTAAAAAGAATGTGTACCATAATAATTAGAGGGGCAGCAAAGGAATGCTAACCATGACATTAAGTTCACCAAGTCAATTTGAACTTTTGAGCTTCATTACTATATTGATTTCAAGTTATGTATTTATTCAGGTTTCAAATTGATGAAAGATGTGTTAGTATAAGGTATATAACCTAGTTTTATCAAAGTAATGCAAAAAAAAAAATTATTCAGGTTTCAGACATCCTCCTCTCATTTGGTCAGCCACCTGCTGGAAGACAGAGCTTACCTTTTTAACACCCAAAATATCTTCAATGAGGGTTGCTGTTTGTAAGAACGTTTTCTTACTTGTCATCAGTGTAAACAGGAAGATCACAAAATCATTCTTTTCTGCCAAGCGCTTTGTAACTCCCTCCGTCTGTCAAAGGGAGAGGGGAGAAAAGGTAGAACATATTGGTTGTGATCACAAAATAAAAATGAAGAGCAAAACACTGCTTCCAAGGCAATTCTACCTTGGAAAACTGGAATGAACCAATGAATCTGAGATGTCATGGTTTAACTATGGGGAACACCTGCACACTCCCCAGCTGTGGAACAAAAAGCCTTCTGGCATTCAGACTGCACAACAGTGAGACATTTTAGAGTGGAGAATGAGAAAAAGGCAGGAGATGGTAGCCTCAGTTGGACTGTAAAGCCTAAGCCCCCTAATGTCTCCACATTAGAGAACAAAGCAATGTCACTGGAACAAAACTGGGTCATTCCACCTAGAACCCAACCAGAGTAAAATCTTAACAAATGAGGTAATGCTTTCTAGAAGGGCTGAGTAAGAGTTCTGCAGGCTAGTCTCAAATGTGAAACCCAACAGTGTTCAAAGCATGGTTTTTAAGGGTCAGGTCCAAGTTGGAGCAAATAATTTCTAACCTTTGGACCGCCACTTCTTCATCTGTAAAATGGTTATCTCAAAAGTCTTTGAGATTTGGTGAGCTGATGCATGCAAACATTGCCAAAACAGTAAGTCTCTTATTTAGTCATTATGCTACAATTAAAGCGATCATCTTGGAGAAATCAAAAACCTTCAAGTTTCCTTTGCTAGTTAATTAAGTTCCACTCTTCTTTTTTTTGGGGGGGGAGGGAAGATTGGGGTTTGAACTCAGGGTTTTGCACTTGCAAAGTAGGTGCTCTACTGCTTGAGCCATACCTCCAGTTTAAGTTCCACTCTTCTGACCGATATTAAAAGATCCTTCAAACAGGTGCAAGGTATCTGTCAGGGACATTCCCTCCAAGACTTTTCTTATGTGGGGGTCAGGCTGAATGACTTCCTGTTAACACTCATGCACCCAGGGGCTTTTCATACTTCTACATTTCATTATTCCTTTTGGGAATACCTCCACCAACTTTGTGTCTGTCAGCACCATTTAGAATATAAGAACAACATAAATGTCTGCTAATATGGAACACATAAATCCAATATGCTATACCTACATTATGGATTATACCATTAAAAATAATGTAGCTAATCTTTACGATTTTTGTAGAACACAAAAGCTGGCCATGAAATGGTGCTTATACACATACTAAAATACATAGGAAAAAAGTCTGAAAGTATTTGTAGCAAATTGCTGGTGATTGTTTAACTTGGTTAATGGATCACACAATTTATACTCTGTATTTTATCTATATTTGCTAATTTTTAAAGAACATGGTTTGTTATTTATGAAGTAAATTAATATCAAAGACAGGAATGGGCAAGCCTATCAACTCTCCTGCATGAAATCTTCCCTAACTACTCTATACACATGCACTGTTCTTCCTCTGAAGTCTCAACGTACCTGGTCTGTCCCTGTCCAGATATTTTACCATACCCTGACCCTCATCCCATTAATTTTGAGCTATATGATGGAGGAAGTCTATCTTATTCACCCTTGTATCTATGGTATCTAGCAGTAATCCTGGAACATGGCAGGTATTGATCAAAAATCGGTTTATAGAGTAAAAAACAAAGGTATGAAAAAAATAAAGATCAAGAATTTGGATTTAAGAGGCTAGGTGTGGATAATGTCTGTAATCCTAGCTACTCCGGAGGCAGAGATTGAGAGGATTGTGGTTGGAGGTCAGCCTGGGCAAAAAGTTAGCAAGACTCCATCACAGTTAATAAAAGCTGGGCATGGTGGTATGTGCCTGTCATCCTTGCTACAGAAGATTCATAAATAGGATTGTGACCCAGACAAGTTTGGGCATAAACAGGAGACCCTACCTCAAAGAAAATAAAAGCAAAAAGGAATAGGGGCAAGGCTCAGGAGGTAGAGCACCTACCTAGAATCCTCACAAGCATGAGACAAACCCCAGTACAGCCAAACAAACAAACAAAGAATTTGGATGTAAAACTGCAATTTTAAGCTGAGTATGGTGGCACACACATGTAATCCCAGCACTCAGGAGGCCGAGGCAAGAGGATAGAAAGTTCTGGGGCAGCCTAGTTCCCAGGTTATCTAGTTCGACCCTGTTTCAAAAAACAACCAAAAACAAAAACAAAACTGCAGTGTTTCTAACTTAACTCAAATGCACACATACACACCCCCCTCACCCTCCTTGGGACAACCAGAGTTTAGTGGCTTAGTGGCTTTGATACTTCCTCATTCTTTTAAGCCTCTAAACCAAAAAAACTCAAGTCAGATTGCGACAAACATGACTTCTCTTTAAAGTATACAATCAGTCTTGTGGAATAGGTCACTGGTAAAACACTTGCCTACCATGCTTGAGTCCCTGGGTTCAATCCCCAGCAAGTGAAGAGAGAAAAAAACAAACAAACAAAAAAACCACAGCTTGGTTGACTCCCAAGCTAAGAAATGTTTTATAAGATGTGTCAATCAAATTTAATTTTCAAAGTGAAGGCATCAATAAAAATGTGGTGATATATAAATCTTTAAGGATCACAACATTAAATAGGACACTGACAGAAAAAAGAAGTCTCAGTCTGACTTTGTAATTAATTAACGTCTCATTTCTATTCTTCAGCATGGTGTTATCACATCAAAAAAAAAAAAAACTTCCCAAACCACATTCAGCATCTAAATGGCTATGAGATGTGATCGAGAATTGATTCAAGCTTAACTAAAACAAGCAGAAGTTCAGAAATTCACTCCCAGCATGTGCACCTGCGCGCGCGCACACACACACACACACAACACACCACTACACAGAAGAAAAGACAAATTTACCATTTTCTCAAAGTTTAAAAATGTATCTCTAGGCCAGGCCTACTTGAGAGGCAGAGATCAGGAAGATCATGGTTCAAGGACAGCCAGGACAGAAAATTAGTGAGGCCCCATCTCAACCAAGAAAAACCTAGGCACAGTGGTGAATATCTGTCATCCCAGCTAAACTGGAAGCATGAATAGAAGAATCTCAGTCCAGACCATGAGACCCTGTTCAAAAAAAAAACAACTAAAGCAAAAAGGTCTGGGGACGTGCCTCAAGTTGTACAATACTTGCCTAGCATGTATGAGGCCCAGAGTTCAATTCCCTATACCAGCAAAAAAAAAGGATCACTGGCTCAGTGATAGAGCACTTACCTATGTGCATGAGGCCCTGAACTAGGATCCCTAACACTGCAACATACAGCACACACACACACACCTATCTATCTTTAGACTGTCAAATATGCAATCCTATTGCTTTTTACTCCTGACCACCTTACTCTTCAATTTATCAAAGTCCTACTCTTTCTAGACACTGGCCCTTCTAGAAAGCCTTCACAATCAGTAATATCTATCTTAAAAGCCACATACATCGCAAACTAGCATCAACAGATCAAGTTTTACCTGGCCAATAGTACTTTTTATAATTTTGAATTTAAACATCTTTAGGCAAGGTGTGCTTATTCTAGGCTAGTCACAATTTACAAGTCCCACTCCAACATGGGTAATTTCAAACATTACCTGTTTTCCACCTGATCCTGGAGGCACTGGTGTCTGCAACTTTAAGAGCTGCAGGTTCTCTAGCTAATTTGGAACTAAGCCAGATCAGCAGAATTGGGCCATATTATCCTACACTCTTAAGAATTTTTTTTTTAGCTAAACATCGATCTACCATTTGTTCCAGCAATACCACTCTTGGGGATATACCCAAAAGACTGTGACACAGGTTACTCCAGAGGCACTTGCACACCCATGATTATTGCGGCACTTATTCACAATAGCAAAGTTATGGAAACAGCCAAGATGCCCCACATGACGAAATGGATTAAGAAAAAGTGGTATCTATGCACAATGGAATTTTATGCAGCCATGAAGAAGAACGAAATGTTATCATTCGCTGGTAAATGGATGGAATTGGAGAACATCATTCTGAGTGAGGTTAGCCTGGCCCAAAAGACCAAAAATCCTATGTTCTCCCTCATATGTGGACATTAGATCAAGGGCAAACACAACAAGGGGATTGGACTTGAGCACATGATAAAAGCGAGAGCACACAAGGGAGGGGTGAGGATAGGTAAGACACCTAAAAAATTAGCTAGCATTTGTTGCCCTTAACGCAGAGAAACTAAAGCAGATACCTTAAAGCAACTGAGGCCAATAGGAAAAGGGGACCAGGAACTAGAGAAAAGGTTAGATCAAAAAGAATTAACCTAGAAGGTAACACCCACGCACAGGAAATCAATGTGAGTCAATGCCCTGTATAGCTATCCTTATCTCAACCAGCAAAAACCCTTGTTCCTTCCTATTATTGCTTATACTCTCTCTACAACAAATTAGAAAAGGGCAAAATAGTTTCTGCTGGGTATTGAGGGGGTGGGGGGGAGAGGGAGGGGGCGGAGTGGGTGGTAAGGGAGGGGGTGGGGGCATGGGGGAGAAATGACCCAAGCCTTGTATGCACATATGAATAATAAAAGAAAAAAAAAAGAATTTTTTTTTTTAATGAACTGTTTTACTAGACTGTGACTAATTAACGTCAGGTATTACAATTTAAAAACAGCCTCATAAAACAAATGACTACATGCAAGTTAATGATGAAGTCATATATATGTATGTATGGATGGATGGATCTATCTATCTATGGACTATTTCTTACTGGCTTTAGTTGTAAGAATAGTTGTAAATTTCTTGAACAATTAAGTTTTTTATCTTAATGATCTGTGCCTATCTGTGCCACCAGCTATACACATGGCTATAGAGCACTTGAAATGTGGCTAGTCCAAACTGAGATGTGCTCTGGGTATTAAAAATTCATAAATGGATCTTGAAAGCTTAGTACATAAAAGAATGAAAAAACTTCCTTAATAATTAACTAGAGGGCTGGTGAAGTGGCTCAGGTGGTAGAGCATCAGCCTAGCAAGCAAGAGGCCCTGAGTTCAAACCCCAGTACCACACACACAAAAAACTGATTATATGTTGCATAATATTCTTGATACATGTTTTAAATAAAATATAATATTAAAATTAATTTCATCCTATTTTTTCTTACTTTTTAAAAAATATAACTACAAAGAAATTTTAAATAACCAAAATGGTTTGCATATTTCTACTGTTCTGTAGAACAGTATTTCTACATTTCTCTATTTGTGTTGGTGCTAAGAAGCTTAATCCCAAAATTGTGCCCCATCTATAGTAGAGATGATTTTATGGTCTGCATTTTTTATATCACCCCAGATTGTATATTACGTTCCCACCCTTGTTCATCCTTTTCTTTCTTACATACTGCTAAGTTTATAATCTTGATAGACTTTACATACTCCCCACAAGATGCCCAAAATCTGCCAGGTATGGTGATAGATATGTATAATGTCAGTTCTCAGGAGGATGAGGCAGAAGGATTGCAAGTTCCAGGCGAGCCTGAGTTACATAATAAGATCCTATATCAAAAACCAAAAAAGGGCTGGCGGAGTGGTTAGCAAGCATGAGGTCCTGAGTTCCACCAAAAAAAAAGAAAAGAAATGGAGTTAAATGTTTCTTTTTAACTTCCATATCATATGGCTTTCACTTAAACAACATCATTTGTCTCATTCAGCAATATATTATAACTCACTACTTATACGTTTACCATACAGTAAGTTCCTAAAAGACAGGTACTGTGTTTAAAAAAAACTAATGTTTACATATTGCTTTACAAAGTGAATTCACATCGCTTATCTCATTTAGTTCTCACAACAACCCTATGATTACTAACTGTACTCAATGGATAAGAAACTAAGGCTCAGGGAAATGTCCTAAACTAAGGTCCAGAATATAAAAAAATCAACTTCTAACATTAAGCACTCTGCTTTTTTTCCCTATCAAATCGCTTCCTTTATTCCCTATTCTTCCTGGATCAGTGGTCAACCTGGTAGAGTGTCTACTCAATAGATGGGTAGGGCTTCCGGTTCTTGTTTTATTTTCTAAGAAGGAAAATAAAGGAACAGGCATAAAGGAGCTAAAGAACACAAGACACTCTGCCAATACTTGTCATCCTTAGACAAGTAATTCCTCAGTTTCTGCTTATACACCTTCAGTGGATACTGAAACAGCCTTGGCTCCTAATAATTACTCTAAAAATTCTGCTTCCCCATTACTTCTGTTAGTCCCAATTCTCACACACACATAAAATGAGTCCAATTTCCTCAAATGTGTGAAGACATTTCTTAAGTCTGCCACCCCCACTCAAATGTTCCCTTCTTAACCATTAGAGATGTGGCAGGGAAATTAATGGTGCCTCAATGGCAGGGGTACTTACGCAAACACAGGTATTATACAGAATGCTCAAGCAGTCCTTGGACATTTCATCACTTACTGAAAAGGAAGAGGAAAAATACTATTTTTCTCATTGAAAAGATAATGTAACATTATTACCCTTTTTTTTTTTTTTTTCTGCAATGCTGAGGTTTAAACTCAGGGCTTGTGCTTGCAAGATAGGCGCTCTACCCTGAGCTATACCACCAGCCCCATTATTACATCTTTTGAACATAAGAAGTATTACAATTCCTTCCAGGGCAATTACTTTTCTCCAATCTCTGTACACCAAATATTTTCAGGGTCTATAAGAACCTACAAACCATTTTCTTACTGTACTCCCCAGTCTTCATCATTTCGACCTGTTGTGCTGCCACTTAATAAAAGCATTTTTCCTTTGTGTCTTGTTTAGGATATATCCAGGGCTTGGTGGGGTTTTTTTGTTTTGTTTTTTTTCTCTATTTAGATATACTACAAATAAGTATCTTAACATATGTGCATAGCCTCTTTATGCCTGTATTGAATTTTCAAAAACAGAAGTACTAGAATCCAAAGCATAAACATCTTGATTGCTCATTATAAATCTCCATTGAAAGTTCTGCTACAAACAAGGATACCACTTTTATTACAAACTCACCAACTGGATATTTTATTTAATTTTTGTTGTAGTAATCTTTGATGGCAAATGGCCTTTAATAGTTGACCTACTACTAATTCTAATAAAGAACTCACTACTTTGCTGTGTGCAGAAGAGGACAATAGCATAAAAAAATGAAACTTAATTGCATAATCCCCAAACTAGAAGATGATAAAACTAAGCATAAGCCACAGACCAGGTGTTTTGTATGGCATTACTTTAATTTAAAAATTGTTTCCATATAGGCCAGGTGTGGTGGCGCAAACCTATAATCCCAGCTACAGAGGAGGCAGCGATTGGGAGGATCATGGTTTAAGGCAAGGTCACACAAAAAGTTAGTGGGACTTCTATGTCAATCAACAGTTGGGTGTGGTGGCACACTCCTGTTATCAAACTATGCAGGAAGCAAAAAGAGGACTGTGGTCCAGGCCACCTAGGCAAAAACCCAAAATGTTATCCCAAAACTAACTAAGGGATGGGGGACTGTTTCAAGTGGCAGAGCACCTACTTAGCAAGCACAAGACCCTGAGTTCAAACCCCAGTACTGAAGAAAAAAAAAAAAAAAACTGCTTCCATTCACTCCTGTATGCTGCCATAAACTCTAAAGTGCTGGGTCTTCCTCTGAGATCCCAATGAGCAGCCCTGTCACACTTGCTTGACCAAAGGAGTTCTCTCATTTGAAGACAATGCAGGTGCCCTGTTTCCTTCATTATTACCTCTCAACCTATTTGATTTGCTTTATTTATTTAATGATTTCACAACAAGGTAGAACACCAGATATCTCAGTATTTTTAAACTTTTATTTTCAAAGGGAGTTGGAATTCATGCACTCATCACATATTCGTTCAGCATGTATTCTAAAGCAGACAGTAGCAAGTAAATAAAAAAAGATGAGGCCTTAGCACTCACACAACCTGTAAACCTAGTAGGTGGAAGACAGAATAAGCAAGTGCACCAACAAGCCATTAGAAGATGCTACTTGCTGTCAGAGTAGATAGAACACATGAAGGACTAACATACAGCACAAAACTGAGATAATAAAGATGACTACCAACTCTAGTAACCACTACTGAGGCCTTATACAGTATGCCGTATTGATGTTAGTGACTAAAATTGTCAAAAATTTTAAAAACATATAAACACGATGTTTGTAGAAGCACAGTCATCAAATGTTAATTGAGGTGATTCCTAGCTTTTAATAACAGAATGCAGTATACTTATTTTTAAAAAATTAAATATTGAGTATGTAAAAACAGTATTTGTAGTATTTAAGTTATAAAGAGTAACAGAGGGCTGGCGGAGTGGCTCAAGCAGTAGAGCACCTACCTAGCAAGCATAAGGCCCTGAGTTCAAAGCCCAGTACCAACAAAAACAACAACAAAAAGAACTGCAGTTCTACCGGGCACCAGTGCCTCATGCCTATAATCCTAGTTACTCAGGAGGCAAAGAGAGCAGGAGGATTGCAGCTCAAAGCCAGCCCAGGCAAATAGTTCTGCGAGACCCTATCTCAAAAAAAAAAAAACCCGTCACAAAAAAAAGGGCTGGTGGAGTGGCTCAAGGTGTAGGCCCTGAGTTCAAGCCCCAGTACTGAGGAAAAAAAAAAAGAGTAACAGAATAATACCTATATACCCACCATGCAGATGAAAGAACTGTGCACTGCCAAAACACTTTGGTAATGACTGAACTTTTACAAAGAGCACATATCACCCTTGTAAGAAAAATCTAAGAGTTTTTTTTAAAAATAAATAAATAAAACAGTGATCTTACCAGGGTATTCCTTACTCTCTCAGCTAGCTACATATATGAAGTAAGAATTTCCTAAGAAAACATAAAAGCTGGACCAAAGGACTATTAGGAAATACAAAGATTCCATTCTTTTTCCCCAGTGGTTTACATGCTTTTTCTTTGAAAACACTAGATCTGTATTTTGACCCAGTATGAATGAATGAAGAGAGCTATTTAGTTGGGGATGGAAAGAGCAACCTGTAGTTGTTAAGAGTCAGGAAGGTGAAGAATAGGGCACCGTGACCATATTGGCATACTGGGAAATGAGGACCAATACCTGACAAATATACTTACTTTTTAGTTTCTGTCCCCGGGTAGAGATTGTAGGCCTCATAAGAATTTCTACAAGGAGCTATTAAAAAAAAAAAAAAAAAAAGATAAAAATCTTCAAAATTAATTCAAAGCACAACTTATAATCTTTACCATGAAAATCCATTATCCCAGTAGCGGTCACAGTACTGAAAGATTCTCTTTTAGAATGAAGGCAGTAAAGTCCAATGAAAGGAGCACTGTGACCAGAGTAGGAAATCTGAGTTCTAGCTCAACCAGTTCAGCCACTTATTCTCCATGCAAAATTAGGCAAGTCAATGCCCCTACTTGGACCTCAACTTTCTCATTTTTAAAAATGAGTAAATTGGATTAGTTAATCTCTGGGATCCAATGTGGCTTTAATTTTTTAAAAACTGAAAAACATTATTACTACTATGATTCTTCTTCTTAAAGAACATTTGTGTGAGTTTATTTAAAAACAAAAAGGCCTCAGTAAAAATAAATAAATAAGTAAATAAGTAAGAAAATAAATAGCTTCACCCACATCTATAATCCTAGCTACTTAGGAGGCAGAGAGATTAGGAGTATTGTGGTTCAAAGCTAGCTCCAGGCAAATAGTTTGCAAGAGCCTATCTCAAAAAATCCCAACACAAAAAAGGACTGGTAGTGGCTCAAAAGTAAGAGCATCTGCCTAGCAAGCATGAGACCCTGAGTTCAAACCCCAGTGTTACCAAAAAACAAAGTCTCAAAAAACATACCATATATTTACACTGATTTTTACAGGGATAATCTGCATATACATTTCATTTGACATATTTGAATATAACACACAATTTTGCTTAAAATGTTTAGAAAAAGCACTTATTTTTATGCTGTTGAGAGGAAGGACAATTTATAATGATAAAAGGGTCAATCCATCAGGAAGATATATAAATACATATGCACCTAACAACAGAGCCCCAAGATACATGAAGCAAAAGCTGACAGAATAAAAAGAAACAGACAATTCAAAATAATAGCTGGCCACTTTAATACCCTGTTCTCAATAATGAACAGACAACTAGGCAGAAGATCAGAAAAGAAATAAGGTCTGAACACCACAAACCAACTAGACTTAGTAGGCATCTATAAGACTTTATGTAGTGATAGCAAAATACTTTCTACTCAAGTGCACACAGAACATTCTTCTGGCTAGATCATATCTTAGGCCATATTACTAGCCTCAAAAAAATTTAAAGGATTAAAATCTTATGAATTATGTTCTTTGGTCACAATGGAATGAAAATTAAGAAATCAAAAAGAAATATGGAAAAATCACAAATATGTGGATAATTATAAATATCCTAGATAATCAATGAGTCAAAGAAGAAACCACAATGGAAGCTAGAAATGGATGAAATTTGATACAGCTAAAGCAGTGCTTAAGGGAAACTTAAGCTATTAACACCAATCTTTAAAAAATTACTTTAAATCAATAATCTATTCTTCTACCTTAAGAGACTAGAAAAAGAAGACTGAACCAAACCCAAAGCAATGGCTGGCAAGTGGCTCAAGTGGTACAGCACCTGCCTAGCAAGCATGAGGTCCTGTGTTCAAATTCCAGAACAATAACAAAAAAAAAACCCAAAGCAAGCAGAGAAGGAAATAATAAAGATTAGAGTGGGAGATGTTTCTTCTCAGAAATTGACAAACTGATCATGAAATTCACAAGCAAAGGCAGGGATGCACAATAGCCAAATGAATCTTTGTGTTTTGTTTCATTTTCTGTTTTTTGGAGATAATGGGATTTGGATTAAGGGCCTTCCACTCTACCATTTGAGCCACACCTGCAGCCCACCTAATCAGTCTTTTTTTTTTATCATCCTTGCAGTACTGAGGTTTGAACTCAGGGCCTACACCTTAAGCCACCCCACTAGCCCTTTTTTGTGATAGGTTTTTCCACGATCCTCCTGATCTCTGTCTCCTAAGTAGCTAGGATTACGGGGGTGAGCCACTGGCACCTGGCCCTCCTAATCAGTCTTGAACTGCAAGTATAGAGTAAACTCATATGACTATGGTTAACTGATTTTTTGGTCAGGGTGCCAAAATAATTTGATTGTGAACGAGTAGTTTCTCCAAATAAATAAGTGCTCTGATAACTTATTAGAACCCTACCTCACATGATAAATAAAAATACACTCGAATGGATCAGAGATCTAACGGTAAGAGATAACATTATAAAATTCTTACAAAAACACATAGGATAAATCTTTGTGATCTTGAATCAGGCAACAATTTCTTAGACAAACACAAAACTCAAACAGAAAAATGAATTTTACCAAAATTAAAAATCTTTGTGCTTTGAAACACTACACAAAAAGTAAAAAGACGGGAGAAAATGAATAGAAGGAAGCATTTGCAAATTATGTACTTTATCAGGCACTAGTATCCCAACCAACTACTATAACTCAGTAAGAAAACACAAAATATACGTAAAGCATGTGAAAGACATTTCTTTAAAAGCCACTCTTCAAATGGCCAATAAACACATGAAAAAATAGTCAATATTATTAGCCTCAGGGATATGCAAATCAAACCCACAAGAAAATACCTGTCTACACTTCTAGAGTAACTATAATAAAAAACACAGATACAGACATGTAGTACACAGCTATAATCCCAGCACTCAAGAAGCTGAGGCAGGCAGGAGAAATGAATCTGAGGTCAGCCTGGGTTCATAGCAGGACTGTGTCAAAAAAAACAAAAGGGAAAACAAAAACAAAATTTAAAAAAAAAGGTAATTGTTGACAAGGATGTAGCAACACTAAATCCTTTATACACTGCTGATGAACATGTAAAATGGCTCAGAAAACAGTTTTGCAGTTCCTTAAAAGTTAAATATTGCTGGGCACCAGTGGCTCATGCCTACAATCCTAGCTACTTGGGGAGCTGAGATTAGGAGGACTTCAGTTTGAGAACAGCCCAAGCAAATAGTTCTAAGACCCCCCCCAATCTCCAAAATAACCAGAAACAAAAAACAAAAACATAAGAGTTTAACATAGTCACCATATAACCAAGTGACTTCACTCCTATGTATATACCACAAGAAAATTTGAAAACCCCTAGTCAACAGGAAATGAAAAAAAAATGCCTATAGAAAAACTTGTACTCTAATGTCCAGAGTAGCATTATTAATTAAAGCAGTGTTATTAATAATAACCAAAACTGGAAAGAACCCAGATGTCCATCAAATGATGAATGGATAAACAAAATGTGGTATATCCATTGCATGTTTCTTGGAAATAAAATAGAATGAAGTACTGATATATATCACAACCCAGATAAATCTTGAGACAATTATGCTAAGTCAAAGTAGTCAATAACAAGACCACATGTTGTATGATTCCATTTGTATGAAATATTCAGAATAGGTAAATCTATACACAGAGGAAACAGATTAGTGGTTGCCTAAGAAGGGGAGACGGAGAGTTTAGGAGAAAATGAGGAGTATTACTAAAGGATAGGCAGTTTCGTTTTTGGAGTGGTAAAAATGTTTTAAAATCAATTGTGGTAATGGTTGTACAACTATGAATTTACTAAAAACCACTGGATTGTACAATCTAAATGGGTAAATTGTATGGTATGTGAATTGTATCTCAATAAGCCTGTTATGCTGTTAAAGAAGCCAGATAGGAAAAAAGCCACATAGTGCAAGATTCTGTTTATTTAATGGGCAAATCTATAGGGAAAGAAAATGGGTTAGTAGTTACCAGAGCTGAGGGAGAAGGAATGGAAAGTGCCTGCTGATGGTATGGTACTTCCTTGGGCATGATGAAAATTATTCTGGTAAAAATTTTGTAAACACAACAGAAACTACTGAAATGTAGTTGAGGATTAACTTTATGGTGTGTAAACTGCATTTCAACAGAGCTGTCACTGAAAAAATTCTGTTAACAAAAGTCTAAGTCAACATAAACAGAAACAAACAGAAAAAAAAGAAAAGATTTAAAAAAGAATACTACAGAATCTTAAAAGTGACTGAATTTGGTGACAGGTTCAGTTTCTCACATTTTCTTTAATGAATACCTTTTACTTTTATGACAAGGATTTGTTTTCAAATAAAGTCAATTTCTACTTAAGTATTGTTGTTGTTGCTAGTCTTTCTGAGACAGGGTCTCACTATAAAATTCAGGCTGGCCTCCAACTCACAATCTCCATGCTCTGACCTCCCAAGTGCTAGGATTACAGGCATGCACCAAGCCTGGCTTCTACTTAAATATGTTAAGGCATTTTTAAAGTAATTTGTGCTGACACCATGACTAAGCCCGTATGTTTAAAGACATGTGAGAGACACACACACACACACAACACACACACACACACACACAATGGTTTAAATCAAGTTAGGAGCGATTTCAAAACAAAAACAAAGAACTCTTCTAGCCTCTTCCATCTACAGGCGATTATGTGGGCAGTGTATCCAAGACACCTAAAGTCAAATGTTACAGAAAAGATCCCACAGCATTTTTTTAAACAAAAACAACAACAACAACAAAAAAAAACAACACACAAAAATCACATCTGTAATCCTAGCTACCTGGGAGGCAGAGATCAAAAGGATCAAAGTTTGAAGTCATCCTGGGCAAATAATTTGCAAGACCCTATCTCAAAAGTACCCAACCCAAAAAAGGGCTAGCAGAGTGACTCAAGTAGTAGACAACCTGCCTAGCAAGTATGCCCTGAGTTCAAACCCCAGTATTGGGGGAAAAAAAAAAAAAGCTCAGCTGGAAGATTTGAGAAAGACTGTTTATCTCAAACCAGCAATAAGTCTTTAGAAAACAATTCCATATTCTTAGGATTGCTCCTGGAATGAATGTGACACCCTAATTCAATACCCTGAAGTGACAAAGGAAACATGATGGGACAGATAGATGGACATGTTTTTGGATGAGACAACAAATCACAAAATAAAAACCCTCAAGTACTCCTAACACCCACTGATTATCACTTCTAGAGAGCATTGGGCTCAGCTTTCTACACATATGTATTTAATGTTAACTTTACTTGTAAGAGAGAAAAAAAAGAAGACTCATGACTTGGGGC